AATTAACAAAATAAATTGTTTAAATAATGTTTAAATAATTAATTTTTAGTTTTCCTATACTTTAGTGCTTCAGTTACAAAAAATGCATAATATAGAAAAAACTAGCAATTTCTAACCCTAATTGCAGTTTATGAAAAAAACAACAACAATTAATTGATTCAACAATGTTCAATTAATTAATTTGTTATCATTAGTGGATGTTTTACTCATTGAAAAATTGAGCAATTGAGAGTTGACTAGAAATTTCTAGCCCTAACTATTGTTTATAAACAAGTAACAACAATTTATTGTTTAAACAATTAAATAAATTGTTATAGTTTTTTTCGTCCATAAGAAACACTTAAACATTATTTTAATAGGTTTTTTGATATTTCTCTGATATTCTTTTATATTCTCGCGTCAAATATATGTGCGCGCGACGTCACATGCAAATCCCGTCCTGCTCGGGATAAACAAGGTTTAATAAGTCAGTTGTCCAAGCCTTACCATTTTTCTTCTCAACGGAATATTACTCAGTGGTAATTAAAGAATAAGTACTATTTTTTTCATTTTAAAATTCGATTGCAAACATGGTTTTTTGCTAATTTGTTATAAATGAATAGTTTGTTTATTTATTAAATTTCAATATCTTTTTACGAAAAAAATTTTATTTAAAACTTTGACTCAAATAAAAAGGAATGCCTCTTGGAGCATTAAAATCGGTTAACAAGTTCCTTTTTAATTAATTTTTTTAAAAACAGTGTCTAAAAACTTTAATTGTTTATAATAATAACAAAAATTTTTTTTTGGCACATCCTTTGTTATACTGTTTTTTGTATATAAAACACTATAGAAAAAACCACATTTTAACAAAAAATAAATTTTTTGAATTTTAGTTGGCACGTTTCAAATATTCTTACTCATATATATATATATATATATATATATATATATATATATATTATTGTATTGATACTGGTTGTGATTATTAATTGTTAACAATATTAATACTGTTAATTATTAATGTTATATATACATATATACGTAATGTAAAATCATGATACCTCGGATTAGCGTTGAAAAACATGATACCTCGGATTTGATTTGAAAAACATGACATATCGTCGTTTGGTTTGAAGAACATGACATGTCAAAACAAAATTTTTTTATTGAAATTTTGTTTGGTACCACTGACCGCGAAATTTAAAATGATTTGTTATATTACATTTTTAAAAAATATATGATAAGAGATTAAAATAAAAGTAAAATCTTGCACTTTACTCATATAATTTTAAATATTTCACGACATGAAATTTATTTTAATTCCCTATATTAAAGAACCAGTTGCTAGTAGAAATTGAACATGGATCTACTGGTGTCTACTGGTTTTAACTTCGAAATCCGATTTATGTAACTTAAACGAATATCAAATATAAAATTGAAATGGATTTATTCTGGATTGTCCTCTTCAATTTTTGTTTCGAATTGTTTTAACATGCATTTCTAATCTTATAATTTTTACTTGCATTTTCAAGTTCGCACATACTAAAAGTATCAGCTTGCAATTCCAAATACAAAAATTAAGTTTAAGTATTTACTTGGTTCAATTTGGATTCTCGAATACTACATTCTACTTGACATGTCAAATTAAAAATCATCAAGATAAGTTTAATTTGAATCGGGGATACATTCAGTTCTATTTGGAATTTCAAGTTCAAATTTAAAGAGTTTGATTTATAGCGAATTGGAAGTCACAAAATTGTTATTTTCGACAATTGTTATTTTGTAAATTGTCATTTTTGCAAATTTCCATTTTTACAAAATATTAACTTTTTTAACTGTTATTTTTGCAAACTTGCTTTCTTCGCATTGACAGTTTAAAGCAATTGTTGCTTCGCTAATTTGCATTTCTCGAATTGATATTTTTAGGAATTGTAACTGTTGTTATAAAAAATTATTTTACCTAATTCTCCTTCGACCTGACATATTATGAAGCGAAATTATTTATTTTATATAAGTTTCAAATATTTGACACATTTTAAATTTCGCGGTCAGTGGTACCAACCAAAATTTGAATAAATTTTTTTTGTTTTCGACGTGTCATGTTCTTTAAACCAAACGACGATATGTCATGTTGTTCAAATCAAAACCAAGGTATCATGTTTTTCAACGCTAATCCGAGGTATCATGATTTTACACCCAGCAAGCGATAACGATAATTGACGATGAAATACGAAGTGTGACGAAAATTTATTAGGAAAAATTTGTGAATTCGAAAAGAGCTCAGTGCTCTCTTCGTCGACAAACGAATAGTATGCGTGTTTTTGATTGATATTTGAACCAGTAAATGTATTAATTGTAATTGTATTTAAAGAAATTAATTAATAAGTAGAGTGCTTTTAGAAATTTTAATTATATATTTTTTTGTTAAGTATTACTTTGTTTCGACTATATTGATTAAAATGTTTTTATATATTTTTTTATTCCTAATTTCCTTCTTATTAACGAATTAAATTTATACCACAAGAAATCAAATTTAGAATTTTTTCTTAGACTTGTGCGAGTGTGACCATGGTCCTTCGAGCAGGATCTTCGATTTAAATTGTGAAATTCGAAGATATATCTCGTGAAAATTGTATATCAGCCAAATTGTGAAATTCATCTGTAAAAGAGAGCACTCAACGTTTAAAATTACAATTTAATAGCAAAAGAGACACTCATAATACTATTTTTTAAAGGATTTAGTGGAAAATCAACGTAGAATTAATTAAAGAATCCATTAAAGAAATCAAATTCAACGAATTATTTGCGAGTTTTGTACGAGGCGTCTGTGATCACCACAACGAAAATCATTCTATGAGGTCAATTCATCTACTTTAAGGTTGTAATTATAAACAATAAATTATCATCATCATTAAGTAAGTGTTTAGAAATTATTCAATTGATTAAAGTTTTATATTTAAATTTTATTTTGAAAATTTATAAGAATGACTGATCTTGAGAAGGCAAAACAAGTTAAAACTACGTGCAAAACGCGTTTAACAAAATTTGAAAATTTTCTTCTAAAACTTGATGATAGAAATATTCCAGATCCTAGTATAGTAATTGGGATTAAATTAAGATTATCAAAAATTGAAGAAGTGTGGTATGATTTTGATAAAGCGCAAACGGTTTATGAAATGTTACATCCGAGTGAGGAAAATGAAATTGAAAGAACGGAATTCGAAAATAATTATTATAAATATTCGGCTCATGCTTCAGTTTTTATAAAGAATTTGTCTTCTCAAGATTCATCATTGTCGCAAAATAATGAAGTGGGGATGACTCAAGAGTCTCGCATTGCGCGACTTGAGGCGGAACTTATATCTCGCGATAGTACTATTGATAGTATTAGAGAACTATTAACACGATCGCCTATGTCGGACACATTTTTGAAAAGCTTATCAGATTCGCTTGAAATTCGTTACTCGGGGGTTTTTGGGGTCGCTGATTACGAATTTAAAGTCTGATTTTAAAAATTCAAAATGTCGGATCCACTATGGCGGACACGTTTTTGAAAAATTCATCGTCTTCGCTTGAAATTCGTTACTCTGGGGTTTTTGGGGTCGCTAATTACGAATCTGATGTCGGTTTTTCAAAATTCAAAATGGCTGATCCAATATGGCTGACACATACATATTGGATCCGCCATTTTGAATTTTTTTTTATTTATTTATTTTTTTTTATTTTTTTTTTATATTATATATAATAATATAATATTATATAATATTATATTATATAATATTATTATTATTATTATTATATAATATTATTATTATTATCATTATATATCAAATAAATTAGACAAGGAAATACGAAAGGAGTGGGAGAGGTCAATAGCGGGAACTGATTTACCTAAATTTGAAACTTTAACTTCGTTTTTAACTACAAAATGTACAATGCTCGAAAGTTTGAATTCTCAATCATCCCATCAGGTAATAATAAAATCGAAAATAAATCAACAACCGTGAATAGAGTCCCTCCAGCAAAAATATTATTATCTCAATCAAATATTAATTGTATTATGTGTGATGGAAATCATTCGATTAATGCATGTGAGAAATTTTTTAAGTGTTCGGTTTCAGAAAGAAGTCAAATAGCAAAAAAAGGGTCTTTGCTATAATTGTTTAAGACGATATCACATGATTAGTAATTGTAAATCGGGCAATTGTACAGTGTGCAAACGTAAACACCATACTCTGCTTCATGACAACTCAAGACAATCGCGCGAGTCTAAGTCATCAAAGGCAGCCAACGACACATCTCAACTGACTGTTGGGCATGTGTGTGACTTATCGAAGGTTCTATTGTCAACTGCGATTGTAAATATTACAGATTATCGAGGTAAAAAACATGTATGTAGAATTTTATTGGATAGTGGTTCCCAACCCAATATAATTACCGAAAAATTAGCCAAGCGATTAAATCTCAATAGAATAAATTTAGACTCGTGTGTCGAAGCTGTAAATAACACTACGATAAAAAGCACAGAATGGATTGTTGCTGATAGTCATTCGAGAACATCAAATTATTCTAAAAAATTGACCTTTCTTATTTTACCAAAAATTACTAGCAATATTCCTGCCTTTCCTATAAATAAAGATTCCTTGGAAATTCCTCAACAGCTTACCTTATCAGATCCTACCTTTGATCAACCGTCCGAGATCGATGCACTCATGGGTGCTGAATTATTCTATGATGTTTTGATTCCGAATCAGATTCAACTTTCTCAATCTAGAACTGTTCTACAGGATACTCAGTTTGGGTGGATTGTTACAGGAAAATTGGCTTCTACAAATGCTAAATCCAATCTTCTGACTTCAAATCTTCGTTGCCATTTAATCAGAGATCCTTTATGCACTCAAATGGAAAAATTTTGGAACATAGAGGAATTGACGGAGAAACGCTTCTTTTCTAAGGAAGAAGAAAAATGTTAGGAGCATTTTCGGCAAACTCATCAACGAATCCCTAAAGGTCGTTATATGGTAAATTTACCATTTAACAAAAATAAAGAAAAATTAGGATCAACACTTGATGCAGCGCGAAGACGATTTTTTGCTTTGAAAACAAAACTGGAACGAAATCCAAAAATGCGAGAACAGTATAATCAATTGATGAAGGTCTATGAAGAATCAAAGCATATAGAACTACTTCCAATCTTGATCAAGGATGCATACTTTACTCCTCATCACGCTATACTAAAGGAATCCTGCTTGACTACAATCTTGCGAGCTGTATTTGATGCATCTTTTAAATCAGCAACCGGAATTTCACTTAATGACTGTCTGATGGTGGGACCAACTATCCAAGATGGAGTTTTCGAATTGATCTTGCGTTTCAGAGTACACTTGTTTGCAATGACTGCAGACATTGAGAAAATGTACCGGCAGTTTTTGGTACATCCTAGTGATCGCAAGTATCAATGTATTCTGTGGCAATATAACAAAAATGAACCTTTGAAAGCGTACCAGTTGAACACAATCACGTATGGCACATCATGTGCACGCTTTTTGGCTACAAGGTGTCTGAAGCAGCTGGCTGAGGACGAAATGAATTCCTTTCCAAGAGCATCGTCAGTTTTGGCTAAAGATTTCTTTGTGGATGATCTTGTTACCGGTGCAGATGAATTTGAAGAAGCGAAGAAATTGAGAGATGAATTGATTATGTTGACTGATGGTGCTGGATTGAAATTGCGCAAGTGGATATCCAATGATAAGGGACTAATGGAGGAATTTAATCAATGTGAGGATGACCTTTAGCGACGTCTCTGTGAAGATCCTGTGACTAAAAAACTGGGAGTCGTCTGGGACGCAAAAGAGGACTGTTTGAAATTCAAAATTGAGCTGGATCCTGAAACAAAAAATTTGACAAAGAGAGAAATCCTATCACGAATCGCAAAGCTACATGATCCTATGGGATTTTTATCTCCGATTATAGTCTATGCAATGATCATAATGCAAAGTTTATGGAAATTGAGTATAGGATGGGACGATCCTATTCCTGATGACATAGCTGCAACATGGAATCAATACTGTTCTCAACTGATGCATTTGATTGAGTGGAGTTTGCCGAGATCAATAAAATCATCAACTGATCCTGATTTACAGTTGCACGGCTTTTCAGACGCAAGTCTGAAAGCATATGGAGCCTGCATTTACATCAGATAGGCTAATGATCTCGAGTATCAATCTGTACTGCTGTGTTCCAAATCCAGAGTCGCTCCTGTAAAAACAATATCACTGCCAAGGCTGGAGTTGTGTGGTGCTGTACTGCTGGCAAAACTCGTCGAGACGGTCCAATCATCTCTGAAAATAAGATTAAAAAAATAACACTCTGGTCAGACTCTACCATCGTTCTTAACTGGATAGAAACTGAACCATATAAACTTTCTATCTTCGAAGCAAACCGCATATCTGAAATCAAAGGAATCACAAGACCACAGGATTGGAAATATATTCCAACAAAGGAGAATCCTGCATATGCAATCTCACGTGGACAATTACCTGAAGATTTTCTGAACAATTACCTGTGGAAGACTGTTCCTTCTTGGCTGATTCAACCGGAAAACACTTGGCCTGGTTATCAATCTGAAGGAATTAAAACAATAAAAATCCAACAAAAAACTTTAATGCATTGTCTTCCTGAAAGAAAATGGTGCATATGGAAGCGGTACTCCTCACTGACGAAATTGATTCGTGTTCTTGCGCTCTGTTTGCGTTTCTCACGCATTTTGCGCAGAGAGCAGGTTTCTGTTGGCCCATTGTCCGGCGAAGAGATAAAAACAACGTTGCAGAGAATAATCTGTGCTGTTCAACGTGAAGAGTTCTCAACTGAGATCCATAGCCTAAAAAATCATAATGATCTTCCAAAAACATAAAAGATTTTACGCCTGAATCCTGTGATCGAGAACAAATTATTGAGAGTCGGAGGAAGGATAAAAAAATCGGACTTAGGATATGATCAAATCCATCCTATTATACTTCCCAAGAGTCATCCTGTAACCCATCTTATCGTCAAAGAAACGCATGAGAGGTTGATGCATGCGGGAACAAATGCGACTCTGTATGCAACTAGAGAAGAATATTGGATTGTGGATGGCAGACTTGTCCGAGGAATTATACACTCTTGTGTAAAATGCACACGAGCGAGACCAAAGGAGATTATGTATCAAATGGGTGACCTACCCAAGGTCAGAGTTACAGAGGCTCTACCCTTCGAAAATTGTGGAGTGAATTACTGCGGACATTTTTTTTAAAGAGAAAAAGCATCGTAATCGGAATAGAGTTAAAGTGTATGCTGCTATTTTTGTTTGTCTTGCGACGAAAGCATTTCATATTGAACTTGTTAGCGATCTTACAACGGAATGTTTTCTTGGATGTTTGCGTCGTTTTTTTGCGAGACGAGGTAAATCTAAAATTATGTTTTCCGATAACGCTACAAATTTTGTTAAAGCCAACAATTAGGTCAGGGGGCTTCACGAATTCCTAAATTTCAAAGAACATAATGAAAAGGTCAAAAAATTTCTTGCAGATTCTCAAATTGAGTGGAGATTTATCCCTCCACGAACGCCACATTTTGGAGGAATTTGGGAGGCTGCATTGAAATCTCTGAAGCATCATATGCGTCGAACACTCGGGGATACGCTTTTCACGTATGAAGAATTGTCGACATACTTGACGGAAATCGAATCGATTTTAAATTCTCGACCGCTTACTCCCCTCTCGTCTGACCCGAATGATTTTTTAGCTCTTACATCGATACATTTTTTAATTGGTCGTTCATTGCTGACTGTTCCATCAAATGATTATTCTGACCTTCCTGTAAATAGACTGTCTGCCTTTCAGCACATTCAGAAATTAAAGTTAGATTTTTGGAAGCGGTGGCACCACGAGTATCTCACAGACTTAAATGTAAGAAGCAAATGGCATGTAAATAATAAAGAATTGAAAAATGGGAAATTGGTGCACTCGTAGTAATTAGAGATGAAAACTTGCCACCTCTTTGATGGTCTCTTGGTAGAATTATTGATGTCATAACTGGTGATGATGGTATTGTGCGAATAGTAAAATTGAAAACTGAAACTGGTATTGTAGAACGCGGATTAAAAAAAGTGTCTCTTTTGCCAATAGATATAATAGATAATTAATATGACTGCTCATTCGAAGCCGGCAATATGTTGCTGAGCAAATGAGTTGAATGAATGTAATCGATAATTGACGATGAAATGCGAAATGTGACGAAAATTCATTAGGAAAAATTTGTGAATTCGAAAAGAGCTCAGTGCTTTCTTCGTCGACAAACAAATAGTATGCGTGTTTTTTGTTGATATTTGAACCAGTAAATTTATTAAAATTGTATTTAAAGAAATTAATTAGTAAGTGGAGTGCTTTTAGAAATTTTAATTAAATATCTTTTTGTTAAGTATTACTTTGTTTCGAATATATTAATTGAAATGTTTTTATATTTTTTTTTATTTTTAATTTACTTCTTATTAACGAATTAAATTTATATCACAAGAAATCAAATTTAGAATTTTTTCTTAGACTTGTGCGAGTGTGAACAACTGCGTTAGCACAATTTTGACTCATTTTAGGTAAACTTAAAAGTGTTTGAAGACCACGCACCGTGACTTCAAATTAATATTCCGCAAGTCCGAAATACCTTGTCTATCAAGTTTTTATAAAAATCGTTTGGTTTTTAAATTTGTCCGCCATTTTGGATACGCCTTTTTGAATTACTAAAAACTGACTTTAGATTTGTAATTAGCGACCCCAAAAACCCTTAAATACAAAGTTTTATAAAATTCCAAAAATTATAGGGCAGTATTCAATATATTGATTTAGCTTAGGGATAGGTTTTGAGATAAGGGTTGAGATGATAAATTGAAAATAGTAGGCTGTAAAATAATATTACAATTAATCAACGATTTTTTTTTAAATCTTAAATTTTTTAGTTTTATTGGTATTTTCTTTAAATAAATCGAAATAGGGGTAGTTTTGGTGTTAACGGTTAGACCTGAAATATTAGTAAGGGTATGTTTAATAGTCCCAATAACGTTTAACCCTTAAACCGCACCCTGGGTGTGCGACACCCATGTTCTAGCTTTTTACTCTAATATCTTGTTTAAGGTCGTAAAAATGGAACATATGTCGTTATTGGACGTCACATTTTGTACTTAACTTTATGTTCCGTGAGGGACATTAGTCTCCCAAATGTCTTTGTGTATTTTATATCCTTTTTCAGCTTGGAGAACACACTTTAAAGTCCCCGGGTGTCGCACACCTAGTGTGCGGTTTAAGGATGGATTCGGAAGTGTGCAGTTTAAGGGTTAACCAATTTTTAAATAAAAATTTCCCATTTTTATAGATTTTTTGCAATACAATTGGTTACCTTCTATTTAAGAGTTGTTTTTACCCCTAAAAACCGTAAACGAATTGATCTCGAAAAATGGCTAAACACGGGTATCTTTTTTTAGCTCTAGTTTCTGAAAATCCTTAGTTCTTTCATGGGTGCAAAATCGTGTCGGACAGTGATATAATGAGAAAAAAATTATTTTTATGAGGCATCTTTGTTAACTCTGAGGATTTCATGATTACCAACTACTTTCTTATTTTCCCAAAATAAATTAAATAAGATATACTCTTAGAAAATAAAATAAAGTTTAAACAAGTTTTATGCAATGATACAACAAAGGTTAAAATGCACTGGCAGGTATTGAAACCCGTCAAAGAAGGGTTTGACAGCTAGTATAAAATAATATCTTCATAACGTGACGCCAAATAAATTTCGATGTTAATATAGTTCTAAAAAAATTTTATTCAAAATTTTGCAATTAATATAAATAAAGAGAATTAAATAAAAAAAAATTAATAGTAAATGTTAAAAGTTAAAGTAATGTGCACTTTTGATTTAATTCATTTAGTCCTTATGTCATCTAGGCGTTAATTTTAGTTGTAGCGGTTTTGACGTTTCTGCAATCAATTGTAAAACCATCTTCACTGGCAGTTTGTTTGTACATTCTATGTTAAAGTTTCTAAGGATCTGAAATTTAAAAATAAATTATTTCTTAGACATTTCGGCTTTTATGCAATTTAACAATATTATAACATTTTAGTCCGCAGGGGTACAATTTTGGGGGATTGAATGTCCAAAATTTGTTTAGCTGAAGTTTGCACAAAAAGTTTGCAGCTGAACTTTTTCGGTAAGCTGCAGACCAAATGGTCTTTCAGTGTATTATAATTATAATATTTAAGATATTGAGATCGATAAATTAATTGCTTATTAGATGTTTTGCAATTACCTATTCAGAAAAACACAAGAACATCCTTATTCAGTATATAAAGTAAACACATGAATTCGAAAATTAATCTTTTCCGTCAGATTTCAAATTATCAAGAGTATTACAATTTGATATCAATAATACTTTTCATATTAGAGTATTACAATTTTATATCAATAATACTTTTCATATAAGATAAACAAAATATTATAAAAGTTATTCTCAATGAAACAAAATAAAAGTAATTATTCATAGAACAATAAAATAAAAGTTCAATTTGAAATTTGACAGAAAAGGTTAATTTTCGAAATCATATGTTTTTACATTATATTCTGATTAAAGATGTTCTTACCTTTTTTCTTCTGAATCTTGCTTTCTTTGACGAATAAGTATAGTATTAATATAATTGATCGACACAAATAATAAATTAAGTAAATCTTTCTTTAAAATGAGAATTAACTGAAAAGAATCACGATAGAAAGTCAGACATGTTATTTGTCTGCAGATTGTAATACTCCAGAAATCTTACTTATCGTATTTGATAATAAATTCTAATTAGAAGAATGCAGTCATACCGCAGCATTTACCTGAGCTAAAGCTAAACTTATTTTGATTTCTGCTAATTTTTTGCCAATGCAACTTCGAACTCCAATGGCAAATGGAATAGTAGCACCAGGTTTGTGAACTCCATAGTAACCACGCTTTTCTAATCGTATCCATCTTTCTGGTAAAAATTTATCTGGTTCCACAAAATTCTCAGAACTTCTACCACTTGAATACAAGCTCATTAAAAGCAGTTCCTAGAAATTATAAATTTTTGCATATAATTGTAAATAATTGTTTTAAATTCCTAGAAACCTCTAGGGAAGCTTTGCGAAATTTAAAAAATTTTAAGATTTTTTTGAGTTTTTTTGAAAAATTATATAAAGTCATTTTTTTATATTTTGCACAAACTAGAAATTATTAATTACCTACGAATTAAGATTTCGAATTTATCAGCAAATAGTGACATCTGTTAGAAGTCAATTAGTTTAGAGTAAGGTGTTTCACACGATAATCATTTCGATATGGTTGTCGATATATAATTATCAATTTAAATTTAATTTTTCTCTGAAAAAATAAGCTGCGTCACTATTTGCTGATATAGTCGAAATCATCATTCGTAATTAAAATTCTCAACCAGCGAAAAATTCTAATATTAACTAGAAATTATGGATCAATATTTAAAAATTATTTCTTTTTTTGAAACTATCAAAAGTTATTATCTTCCTGTCCTTTTAATCAAGCTGCCCTTTTGAGTATACATATGTATATATAGTGTACCTTTTTGTTCACTGTATATCCTCCAATAACGGCATCTTTAGATATATATCGGGTGAGAAACGGTGCCGTTGGGTAAAGACGCAGTGTTTCTTTGATAACTCCTTTCAAAAATATGTCAGAAATTATTTCCTTTCCCTCTTTACCTCTAAGTCTGTCGTGAAGTTTCTCTTGCGTTTCAATATTGGTACTTAGTAAATATAAAGCCCACTGCATAGTTGATGTTGACTAGAAAAAAACATCATTTAATACACTGTTAAATAGTAGTTACAATATAAACTTTTTAGATTTTTGCAATATAAAGTAATAGTGAATATAAGTAGATCTATTACCGTATCTCCAGCTGCAATTATTAAGTCAGCAACAATTCTTACAAGATCCTCAGATTTAATTCCTGCATTCATCATCAAGTAAAGTAATCCATCCCCATTAAGTTTAAGTAAAAGATGTACGAGATGCTTAACTGCAGCCAGAGCATCATCTACAGAGTTAACAAATTGACGCCACCATAATGAATTTCTCTTCTTTGCATTAGTTGCCGATATCACATTCAATCGACTAGAACATTGAAATATTTTGTGTAAGATTACAGGTAGTTGGTCTGTTTCTTTTAAAATTTCTTCTTTACACTGGCACCATTTGGAACCCATTAGAGTAGCCAGTATTGCTGGAAATAATTAAATAGGTTAAGTATAAAATTATTTCATTTTTCGTAAACTAAATTTTTTTAGATAATTAGATAATAAAGTATTTATCAATTTATTGTTATTTATCAATTTATCAATTATCTATTTTTAGATAATTTCAAAATAAATATAATCTCATTTGCTTTTCTTGAAATACATGTATTTATGAATAAATTTAGAAACTACTTTACCTTGAATAGAAAAATTGTAAATTTCTAATTTTAAGTTTGGCACAACAAGTCCGTTTTTTGCATACGGATTTAAAGTGTCCACCAAATCTTTTGCAACAACATCACACGGATGGATCATGTAGTCCGTAGAATTAGTTTTAAGAAGAAGTTTGTTCAGTATTTTTCGAAAGTGCAACCATTCTTCTCCATCCCTGCAAGTAATTATATTATTTCTTAATATAAATAAGTGATGAAATATAAATGTATTTTAATAAAATTTTACAAATTGAATATTTAGAAATTTCTAAATGTTTAATTCTACAAAGTGAGAGTAACCTTCATAAAATTAAAGCATGGAATAGATAAATAATCGACCTAATATGCAATTATTTAAATTTAAGTTGAATAGTTTTACTTTTAATCAATTTAAAACTTATGAACTATAAAAATATTAAATTTATTTACATGAAAAAAAGTCCGCGTTGTTTTTTAAATTCTTCGTTGTAAAGAATCCAAGCTTCTGGTAAGAAGTGTTTTGGTGTCGGTCCTTCCAATTCCAGAAAAATTTTTCGGTATTCTTCTGAGGAATTTATAAAAACTGTTGAAGTAGACCCAGCATTACTCCGGTAAATAGGACCTAATTTTTTATGCCTTTGATCAACATATTCGTGTAGCCGTGCTCCCCATCTCGAAGCAATCATCTTGCCCATCTTCTGGCATTTGACGAATTGAACCTGTAGAGTTCACTTTCACATTAGACTTATTTATCTTTGGTTCACTTTTTTCCTCTAATTTTTGAACCAAAACACTATTTGCTCTTTTGGTGCAAAGTTCAGAAATTACACGAACTTGATTTTTACAAAATTGGGTAAAAGAGGAGAAGATATTGTTACTCATTTTTCATTAATAATGAATTTGATTTTATCTGTAAGAAACAAATATAATAGTGTAAATATAAATAATTTGGTCAGTTAATAATTACAGTTCTTATTGATTATTATATTAATTAATTTTACTTCATTTATGCCCAGTTAGAATAAATACCTTACTAAAAACTTCTGTACAGGTTTTAAAAATATTTGTAACCTTCTATTGTAGCTTTAATAAATCCTTTGAATCTGCGTCATTCAAAATTATTTCAGAAGCCTCCAAATTTCTAAAATCAGAAAAAAACTGTTAGTTATTCATATATTAAAAAGTTAACTTTTTTATTTACGATTTTTCTGACGTTCACATATAACTCCTTTGAGGGGCGGTGGGACGTATAAGTCCCACCTTTTGGTTTACTTTTTCTTGTTTTTATGGCATATTTGGATATTAATAACCACCTGTTTTTATTTATAAACTCTAAGGATATAATTTAATGACTTTAAATGAGGTTTTATAAACAATATATTATTGTTATCCTAATATTAAACAATCAATCTCTAAAAATTCAATTTCTTTATGAATTAATTTGACTATTATTAAACGATGAGTCATAATACTCTGAAAATTTTTTTTACTTGTTTTACATCCCTAAAACTACAATGAATATTATTATTAATAATTTTTAACACGCTAATTTTTTAAAATTTATTGTTTATAAATTTAACTTTTCAAAAATTTAATTTTGTCGACCCTTTCACGCCCCTAGGACATATATACGTTCCACCTACTAAAAAATCAATATTATTGACAAAAATTAATATTTTTGAGTCTAGTGCGTTATCTTCAGAAAGAATAGGGCTTTTAAAATATGTATATGTAACCTAGATCATGTTAAAAAATTTCTATTGTTTAAAAAAATTCATAAATTATTGTTAAAAATTACGAATTGTTTAAACATTTTAAAATCGACTAAAAATTTCAATGTTATTTATTTCAATGTTAACCCTTTAAGTGTCATGCTAAAATACAAGAAATTGAGCACGTATGTCAGCAAAGTTTAAGATTTTAAAAATGTAATAAATTTGCTCAAAATTTTACCCGGGGGGGTTTTTGGGGTCGCTGATTACGAATTCAATGTTATTTTTCTAAAATCCAAAATGGTGAATTAAATATGGTGGACTTTTTTTATAAATTTTTTCGAATTTGTTTAAAACGTATTACTCTGGGGTTATGGAGGTCGCTGATTACGAATACGGTGTTAGTTTTTTAAAAATTTTAAGTGGATGATCCAATATAGCGACCATATTTTTAAAAAGCTGACGGATTTATCTAAAAAAATTTACTCAGGAGTTTTTAAAGTTATAAAATTCGAATTCGAAGTGAAATTGTAAAATTTGTTTTTTCTATTTTTTCAATTGACTTAACTGTAGTGGAGACTAGATACAGTTGTTCCAATTTTGATGAAAATAGTTACTGTGATTAGAGTTTAACTCCAATTTGTTTGGTCACACGATTAAATCAAAGGTATACCTTTGATTTAATCGTTTGACCAAACAAATTGAATGGAAAAAACAAATTTTATAATTGCACTTCAAATTCGAATTTCATAACTTTAAAAACTCCCGAGTAAAAATTTTTATACAAATCCGGCAGCTTTTAAAAATATGGTCATCATATTGGATCATTAGTTAATCTCTAATCACAACTAGATAATATATTATCTAGTTTTAAAAGACCATAATTGATTTAGCTCTACATCTATTATTTAATTAACTAGAAGCATTTGAGTGACAGCGTGTTAATTGTAGCAACTGCACAAAGTTAATGTCGGTTGTTACAATACCAAAAATCATCTATAACATTTCTAAATTAAAAACAAATAATTTTTTATAACCGTTTTTACTAATTATTTATCATTTTTGGCTTAACGTAATAGTACGTGACAGTTTCATAGAGATGGCAGCATTAATATTGTTTCTGTGGGATTCTGGTACAAATAATTTAAATATTATGTCTAAATTAACAGAAGGAAATCCGCACAAGAAACATGAAAATTGGCAAAAATCGAAATAATAAAAAGTAGTAATTAAAAAGGTTAAAACTGAAGATTTATTTTATCACAATTGTTTTTACTTGGCACTGCATTGAAATTAATTTTAATCAGTTGGTCGCAATGCCCGCGCATTAATTTAATAAGATGCGGAGAATAAGTTGTGGAGAGAAAAAACGGACAGTGAAATTTTGAAGGAGAACAAATTCGTTGTTTATTCATTCAAGTTACAAATCGAAGTGCCTGAAGGCTTTGTCAAATAGAGGGTTTACAGTAGTGGGGGCATACATTTTTAGGAGTGTGAGGAATTTCAGATTTTTAAATGATTTTCAAATTTTGTCACAGCCTTTATGTTACAATAAAAAGCTCCTTTACTTTACCCCTATAAAGTAATATAGTTCTCGTCTACGTGCGAGTTCCAAAGTTTTGAGGATTAAACATATTTTTAAGGATTAAGTAATAAAATAAATCTTAAGAAAGAACTTTTTGCAAGTTTACAGATTCGTAAAATACATCATAAAAATTGGAATTTATATTTTTACACATCTGTTACTAATAGTCTTTCTAAACATTCCGCCCGCCTTGAACGAGCACTGTTCAATATTTAATTAGAAGAAAAATAACAGAAACATTTCTCTTTTTTCACATTGTATCAGTTTGATTTATATTCACTGCATTATTAATTGTCTGTAATTGTCATTTAGTACACTGTTGTTGGAGATTATTTAATTCGTAGTAGTGCCACGCCTCTGATAGAACGCTTATAGGTCCCAGTGTGAGTTTTCACAGTGACCACTCAAACTAGACCATCGTTCCCAGGAAAGACTTCCGTGATTCGTCCTAAAGGCCAATGAAGAGAAGGAACATTATCTTCCTTCAAGAGAACCATTGTTCCAATGGTTATATTGTTTGGTTTTTTCACTTGCCATTTGGACCGCACATTAAGTTGATTAAGGTATTCCTTTGACCATCGATTCAAAAAATGTTGTCGGACACGATGTATATGTTGCCAGCTGGATAAGCGGTTGGTGATGCGACGTGAATTAAGGATGGCTTCTATTTCAGTCGTGTATGTTAATAATTCTTCATAAGTAAACAATACAGCCCCTACTGTTTTCTTAAAGTGGGATTTAAAAGATTTGACTGCCGCTTCCCAAAGACCCCCAAAGTGCGGTGATTGAGGTGGCGAGAAATGCCATTGAATCTCTTTATTAGTTAGAAAATTTACAATTTTTGATGTGTGCTCAGACTCATGAATGAATTTACTAAATTTCTGAATTTCGTTTTTGGCACCTACAAAATTTGTGGCATTTTCAGAGTAAATGTTTGAAGCATATCCACGTCTCGAGAAAAATCGACGCAAACCGCCAATAAACGCTTCTGCAGTTAAATCAGTAATTAATTCAATGTGAATGGGCTTCGTTGCCAAAGAAACAAAAATACAAGCGTATGTTTTTACTTTACTTCGGTTTCTAAATTTTTTCTCTTTTATGAAAAATGGACCACAATAATCAAGTCCGACATTAAAAAAAGGTCGCGATTGAATTACTCTTTCGCGTGGGAGATCGCCCATAAAATAGTTTTGATCAGTCGGTTTAGCACGGAAACAAGTAACACATTTACGAATGACTGATTTTGTAACATTTTTACCATTAATTGGCCAATATTGTGTTCTAATTGAATTTAATGTCGATTGAGTTCCCCCGTGCAAATTCATTACGTGTTGATCGTGAATAATTAAAATTGTTACGTGATGACCTTTAGGCAAAATAATAGGATGTTTTTCTGAAAAGGCAAGATTAGAATTTGTTAATCGCCCACCTACTCTCAGTAATCCTTCCTCATCTAAAAAGGGATTCAAAGAACGAAGATCACTTTTTGAATGCACTGAATTCTCTATAGCGAGCTGTTTAATTTCTTCAGAAAAACATTCCCTTTGTGTCATTTTTAAAATCGTCTTTAATGCATTTCGTAATTTGTTAACCGTTAAACTATCGCTAAGACAAGCTTTACCTTTTGAGGTGTTATTTATGAATCGCAAAGAGAAAGCAATTACTCGTTTTAGTTTGTGAATTGTTTAATATTTGTAGAGAACCTCATTCCGATTTATTGCATTGGGTAAAGCCAATGTGGGCCTTATTTCTAGTAATGGTACTACCTGCATGATGCTTTTAGGTTATTCGGATCTCTTTTGTCTCAACCATTCAGGACCGTTTTTCCCAACGAAAGCTGCATTTTCCTATGAAGACACGTGTCTCCATTTCATTGTCTTTGTTGTTTCCCTGATTTCAACAACTCGATTCGCGACGAACGTTTTTAATAAATTCGGTTGCGTATATTAATCCATTGCAACGTTATAGAAGAATCAGACCATAAAAATATTTCATCAATTGGCTTTTTTATAGCTTGCAAAACTACTTTAATCAAACGCGATAGTAACAATGCCCCACACAATTCTAATTTGGGGAGAGAAACAACCTTTAACGGAGCAACTCGATTTTTTGAACATAATAGATTTGTGAAGATGTTACCATCTGAATTTTCTGATCTTACATAAATGCATGCACCGTATGCCTTTTCGCTTGCGTCACAAAATCCGTGAATTTCAATGCGTACTGCATCTTTAATCACTACCTTTCGATTGAATTTAACTTTATTTAAAAAGAGTAATTGATTTTCTAAGTTTATCCACTTGGTGTATATTTTTTGTGGTACTGATTCATCCCAACTTACGTTGCATTGCCATAATTCTTGCATAACTAATTTTGCTGCAACAACAATTGGGCCTAACAGACCTATAGGATCATATAAGCCTGCAATAATCGCAAGAATGCTTCGCTTTGTGAATTTATGCTCTTGTTTTTCGACAATTTTGTAAACAAATTCATCTGAGATCGTATCCCATTGAATGCCGAGAGTCTTTGTCTCTGACCCATTATTAATAAGCAAATCTATATTTTCAGATGAATTAGCTAACGAATTTACAACTTCTAAATTATTTGACGACCATTTTCTCAACTGAAACCCGGCAGACTGTGTAATATTTATCAATTCGTCGCGGAGTTTGATAGTTTTTTAAAAGTCATCTTCTCCTGTCATTACGTCATCTACTTAGAAATCAGCTTCTAAAGTTTCACTGCCTAATGGGAAACGAACCCTTTCATCTTTAGATAATTGTCTTAAAACGCGTGTTGCTAAAAATGGAGCGGCCGAAGTTCCGAATAAAACGACTGGAGTTTTAAATGTTTTTATAGTTTCGTTTTCGTTTTCTCGCCAAAGAGATAATTGAAATTGAGTATCATGTTCGTTTAAGTTTATTTGTTTATACATTTTTTCAATATCAGCTACCAAAACAATTTGGTGTGTTCTGAATCTAATTGTTATGTCAAAACTGATATTTTAAACAACAGCACCTACCTTTAGGCAATCATTTAAAGAAACCCCTGAACTAGTTTTGAAAGACGCGTTTGATACGATTCGAACTTTAGTTGAAGAACTCGATTCTTTTATTACGGGATGATGCGTTAGAAAGCAATGTTCGTTTTTAATATCTATTTCTTAAATTGGAATCATGTGTTCTAATTGAATTGATTCTCGCATACCCTTTATATATTCCGTTTTTAAATCTGGATTTTTTGCTAATCTACGCTCCAAAGACATGAATTTTTTTTCGGCTAATTTACGAGATTCTCCTAATTTATGTACCTTTTCATTGAACGGAAGAGAAACTGTATATTTTCCTGTTTGTACATCGCGACGGGTGTTCCTTTTGAAGTGTTCTTCAACTTCAAATTGTTCTTCCGATAAAAACGTTTTATATTGAATTTCTTCTAATTCCCAAAATTGACAAATACTTTTGTTTAGTGTACCTGAAGTGAGCATACCGGTGGAGGTTTTAGCCGCCCTACCTGATCCGATCTTACCTGAAATTATCAAACCCAAATGTGTTTTATGCAGTTTAGCCTTATGACCAGGTATATCAATTTGCCCATGCATAATCAATTCATAAAATATCTCTACTCCGAGTAAAGCGTCAATTTGATTAGGCTTATAAAATTCTGGGTCAGCTAGCTGAATGTTGTGTGGAATGTTAAGTGTGCATTTATCAATAAATTGATTAGGTAATAAATTACAGATTTGAGAAATAACTAAAAATTCAACATTTTCTTTGTAATTTGATTGTTTTGAGAATATTTGAGCTTGAACAGATTTTTTAATTCGTGTTTCAATTTGATTTAATCCTTCGACTAGTAGATTGATTTGTTTTGATGGGAGATTTAAAGACTTCGCAAAATTCTCAGTAATAAAATTAGATTGAGATCCGTTATCTAGCAAAACGCGCGCTTGTTTAACACTATTATCACTAACCTTTATATTAATTAAAGCAGTTGATAGCAAAATTTGAGAAGCCATTATCGCGTTGCAAGCTGTAGAACTTGGGCTATTTAACGACGTGTCAGTTTCTTTGATTGAATCGTCTCTTTGAGAGTTATTGTCTCTTCCCTCATAATGTAACAATGTATTGTGTTTCTTACCACACTTACGGCAACCGGACCATTTACAATCTGTATTAAGGTGACCGCTATTCAAACAATTAAAGCATAGTTTTGGATCCTTTAATTTTCCTACGCGTTCCTTAACCCCGAGTTTTAAAAACGTCTCACATTTATATAATTTGTGTTCGGCATTACAAATAATACACATATTAGATTTTCCCGTCACCATGAACGTTTGTTTTGTCTGCGAATTATTCTGTGATTTATTTTTCCCGATAGAGTTCTCTTGAACTACCAGAATGGTTTGAATTCATATTCAAATTAATTGCCGCGATTTGTAAAACTTGACAGCGTTGTTCCAAAAACGTTAAAAACTCTTTTATTTCTGGCACATCGGATCCCGTAACCGATTCTTCCCATTCTTTGTGAGTCATTCTGTCGAGTTTCAAAGTTATAAGATGAATTATTAATGTATCCCACGAAGCTACCGGTTCATTTAATGATTTTAAAGCTCACAAATGAATTGGCACGAGGTCTAGTAATTTTCTCAATTCTTGAGCCGATTCTTTTCCCAATTTTGGATATTCTATTAACGCGTCTACATGAGTTCGAATTATGATACGTTTGTTATCAAATCGATTTTTAAGCAACTCCCAAGCGATTGAGTAATTTTCTACCGAAGATTCTAGCGAAGAGATAATTGACATTGCCTCTCCTTTAAGACACGATCTTAAATAATGCAATTTTTGTAAGTCGGAGAGATCTCGATTATTGTGAACCATTGATGTAAATGAATTAAAAAAGTCTAACCATTTATCGTATGCAGCATCAAAGGTAGCTAATTCGATAGTTGGCAAACGAATATGACTTTGATGAGAAGAGTTTTGATGCACGACGTTTGCTTGTAGTTCATTATTTAATACCCGTGCATTTTTATTGTTAAGCAAGTCGTGGGCAAAACTCAACTCACTGTAGTAAGATGATTCGAAAGAATTATAATCAGTGGAATTTGTGTCATTAGATAATGCGTCAATTTGAGATTGGACCTCTTTAAATTTCTCTAAAATGCCTTCGATTTTCTGTACCCGCAAACGAATTTCAGTAAATTTTGCCTTATTTTGCTCATTTCTTATAGAATTAACAAATTTCGTGAATTTAAATCTAAGTACTCTTCTTTCGCCAATTCAAGTCTACTAACTGTTGTGCCGAATCGAGCGGCATGATTTAATGTAATTGTTTACTCTTGAAAATCAATTAATGACTAATGACTGGAATAATATGAGGATTTGGATATAGAGATATTCAAATACTTCCCTTTCTCTTGATGATAAGTGTAGACTGGCGTTGGATTCCGTTGATGAGTCACCAGACGATGATTGTATTCCTCAGGATGTTTGACTCGGTACCTGGCATTGATCACTTGTATTGTCTTTAAATTTTCACTTCTGTATCGTGTAATTATTTATGTAACTTAATTTAATGATAATGTCCCTTTTTAATAATTCACTGTCACTATAAATTTCCAACGTAGATCGTCAGTTTGTTTAATTGAATTAACAGAATGTTTATCACAAACACACGTTTTGATTGATTGTCTGGTTATCACTTGATGCACGATAGTTACACACTTGATATCCGGCTCGAAGGACAAATTCGTTGTTTATTCATTCAAGATACAAATCGAAGTGCCTGAAGGCTTTGTCAAATAGAGGGTTTACAGTAGTGGGGGTATACCTTTTTAGGAGTGGGAGGAATTTCAGATTTTTAAATGATTTTCAAATTTTGTCACAGCCTTTCTGTAACAATAAAAAGCCCCTTTACTTTACCCCTATAAAGTAATTTAGTTCTCGTCTACGTGCGAGTTCCAAAGTTTTGAGGATTAAACATATTTTTAAGGATTAAGTAATAAAATAAATCTTAAGAAAGATCTTCTTGCAAGTTTACATATTCGTAAAATATATCATAAACATTTGGAATTCATATTTTTACACATCTGTTACTAATAGTCTTTCTAAACAACAATTACTGCGTGTGTTACAAGCGTGGTCCCAGACGCAACTGAACAATTAGTCGCGTACACACATTCAGATTTTAAACGTACCCGCGCATTTGCTATCTCACTCATTGTGTGAGAGAGAAGTTAGTGTCCCTACGTGAGTAAGAAACAGAAACCAATATTATCTTGCTACAATCCCCACATTTCGAAATGAAAGAAACTTAAACAGTTTTTCTTCATACCTCGGTCGAAAGTACGTATTTTTTGCTTCGATTTCGCAGCAGAAAGTCAAAGATTTGTGCATTGGTCGATGCACAAGCTCGCCCTCTGATACAGCGGGAGCAAAAGCTGTTAGCTGTTCTGCATTACCGGCAGAGAATTTAAAGCGCGAGTGATCCAGACGTATAGGGATTGACAGTTAACCTAAAAGCTTAATGTTTTTTTTCTGGTGCT